CTCTCTCCTCTTCCTCTTCCTCTTCCTCCTCCACCTCCTCCTCCTCCTCCTCCTCCTCCTCCTCCTCCTCCTCGCCAACGGCGGCCCCGGCCGGCCCTGGCTCCGTATCCTGGGACCCCGAGAGGCCCAAGATTTCTTCGTAGAGGCACTCCGAATCCGGGTCCGTCGACACTGCCGCGCTCTGCCACAACTGGTTTATTGGCTTGAAGCCGCGTGAATCGGCCATCGTTCGAGCTACACGCCAGGACACAGACACAGAGAGAAGAATTTATACAACATCGGACATCATCATCATCGTCCTCGTTCAACGTCTTCCTCGGCTGCCGGCTGGTTGACTAAAGACCACCCGATGCTGCACACCCGAGGGATACTAAGAGCAACGGACCAATAAATTTCATTTTTTTTCGCTCGTCACTTTCTGTCCTCGTTCGTTGATTTATCGCTCGTGTGGTTATTTTACAATGAAAATCTGAACAGACCGATTGATTCAAGCGTCGCCTAGACGGACGTCTAGAGTTTTGTACAGCAGCGATTTATAGTGCGCCCATCAACTATTGCCCATCGTTTCTTATTTGCTCGAGTATGCCATATCGTGAACGTACATTTCCGATTCGCCTCTTGCCGCTATCATTTTTTGCTACGTGAGGACACGCCACACGCGTGCAAGCGTGTAAACGGATGCGCAAGTGGTAACGTCATTCAGCCACGCAGGAAGCGGATTTAATTGAAAATCAAGTAACGAGACGAGAAGAAGAATGAAAGAAAATTGACTCTGTGTGTGTATGTATGTGTGTGCGCACGTGTACGTGTGTATGATCGTGGAGAAGGATAAGCGCGCGGGTGTAACGCGCGTTTCACAGCCAGTGTGGCTGGACGTGCAGTCGAACCGCTCGTGGATTCGTGAACCGTCTTCATTGCGAATTAATCAGAACGATTCTCGCGTCGAGTCGCTCGAGAACGTGACAGCGGGTGAAACGCGAGCGAGAAAGGGACGCGCGCTGATTAATTCACTTGCCAAGTTGCCGCGCGAAGCGGCCGGGGGTTGCAAAGTCGTACAAAGCTAAACCCCGTACGCGCAACTTTGTTGTTCGCTGACAGCGGCCCGGTGACCGCCGTGCGAGCAGAAGTATGTGCAACGAACCAACGGCAGTCGTCGCTTCGACGTAAATAGCGAAACGTAACGCGAGCAGAGCAGGGAAACCCGATTGGTACTTTCGAATTCTGGCTCGTTGCATCGGCGAAGAAACATGCATAGTGCAGTTCTCGGTAATACACGGGAGCCACACGAGACGTCGGATTCGCTTGAAATTTCAACAACTTCCGCACGAACGAACACGATCGATCGCCGCGGAGCTTATGAATTTCCATTCCGGCCGATGTACATGAAATTGGAAACGATGAGCCAGTTACTGCAAGATCGCGCTGCAGTAATTAAGCTGGCTAGGCTTCTCGCATGCATCGGCTCTCGTCCCCCGACGACGATTATAGTACCACGGTAACGAGCATTATTAATATCGTTCGCTAGATAAATTCGAAATTCCGCAAATTATATAACGCGGCTTATCTCGATCGACGCATCGTACTCTTCCCTTCTGTTCTTTACTTTATTTGAAGGACGCTTCGCATAAATCATCGTGTGCATTCCGTCGTAAATTGAACAATTCCTAAGTATACGCGAATAACGAGAATCATTCTGTGTAATTCGTCGTTCATAAAACATGAGAGTAGAATTATGAATAAGCAAAGACCGTGTTATCGACGATCGAAAATTGTACACTGCATTTCGAAGTATCTCATAATGAATTACAGCGATTCTCAATCGTTTCTCTTCGCTCACGTATAGAATTTAAAAATTGGACATGATTCAGCCCAACCGGAGAGCCCAACCGGAGCACCATTTGAGGATATTCTGCATATCGCAACACCAATATACTTTGAGAATCACTGATAAGTTGATAGATGAATATAAAAAATTGAACGGAGACGCGAGTGCGACATTTTCCTTATCATTTAAACATTGCAACGTGCACTTTGTTTTCGGTATTATGCACTGCACGCAGTGTTTAAATGTCATGAACATTCGATTTCGTTACGAATGCACAATGTCCGCGGTCTACTCTAATATTTGATCGTCACGGCGACGACGCAACGATTACGGAATCATCGAGCCGCCGGCTCTCGTCTCCGGATCAATTAACGCTGTAATCTCGTAATCTCGGGAATATCGTATAGGCCGAGCAACGTAAACCCGGCGATTAGGAAACAATCAGCTGGCTATTAAATATTATTGCCGGCAAATTGGCAAGCGTGCGCGCGGATCGCGCGAGTGAATAGCAACGACCGCGTATCTTTTTCCTCGTAGATATTCTCTGAAACTCACCTTAGAAAATTCGCAAGCCATCGTGCTGGACGATGCTATTATCACGCCGCGACGTTTCTCCTGTCCCAATTCCGAGCCGCGAGCCCACTACTCGCCACTCGTGTCAGGTACCGAAGCTGAGACCACCTTCCGTTTTCGTTTTCTCGGTGGAAACTGATCGACTAACGTGCTCGATCTCCTCGCTTCGAGTGGCCAGAAGGACGAAGAAGGAACAGCGCGTACGGACGTAGACGTGGAACGAAAGACTCGGTGGGATTTCCCAATGCGACGCGATTCACTGTCGCAACTTTTCCTTTTCTTCTCCGTTCGTCAGTTACTTCCGGATTCCCTACAAGACTCCGGTGCACGCTAACCGAACCTGCGAAACAGAAAAATTTGTTTCATTGCCGCGTGATGTTCTTGTCGCGATTGCAGAAGTTTAACACATAGCAATTCATTTTATTATGACGTTCTTCGTTACATTTACCCTTGAATGAACTATAAATTATCCAAAATGATTGATATTTCTGTTCTAATAGAATAAACTTTATCTGATGACAAAAGAAATGTTGCACTTAGGACACACGCGATCAACGTATTAAGTCGAACAGATATCCGAGATAAAAATCAAAGAATGTACGGGGATTTAATGTAGGTTTCGCAAGTGCACGGTATCTCATAATTATCTGTTGGCCCGAGGCTTCCGTCGGCCCCAAATCGAAAATAAACCTGTTTTCTCGATTTCCAAATGGCCATTACGAGTTCGATTGTTTGCCTTTTGGTCTCACAAGTACACCAATTTTTTTTCTTAGGAAAAATAATCTGTGGATGGTTTCCTCTGTAAGGATCGACTTCACAGGAAAAGATGTTTTTTCGTTTTTGACACCCATCACGAGTTCCATTTGGGACGAGCACCCGCGGTCATTAGTCGGCGACGCGCTTTTGACGACCGGCAGGTGGGACTCGGTTCTTACATGAAAATATACACTTCGCCGGGCAAATAATTCGTAAACCTCGCCCGCTTTACGAATTACCCTGTCAAAACTAACGTCCACGTCGTACGCCGGTTGTCTTCCATCAACGCGTCTCCCTCGACACCGATTCTGTGAATTTCACCAGCCCGTAAAACTGTTTTCCGGCGCGGAGCCTTTGTGCGATACCGTGTGTCACGTTCGGTTAAACACGCGTAACGCATACACTGCCAATTTAATTAATTGTTCCATTCACAAGCTCGGAGATGATTATTAAGTTGCAACGCGTAAAAGGATCGCGAACTCTGTTTGTTTCCCATTGCGTTTGCGAGCGAACTGCAACGCGTTAACGCGATCCCGACCTTTTCCGACTCGACACCGAAATTTTCTAGCCGTGGACGCGTAAACTCGCGCGAGCCGAGTTAACGCGAACCCGGCTGAATAAAATGCAGAGTAGCAACGGGAAGTTCTAACCCGCCGCGTTTTACGATACGGTGAAAATCTAGTTTACAGGCGATCGGGGAAATTCCAGCTCAGGAACTATCGTAAAACTTCGCTCATCGACAATGTTACGATACTCGAGAGAATCCGCTGTACATTCCCGCCAAGTAATTAGGAAAAAGGAGAGTGAATGGAGAATCCGGGAACGGGGGGAGAAATAGTTAACGGGAAATAGATAATGAGAAACGTGTCAGAATGGAAAATTGCCTAAATGATTACAATAAAGAATGACAATTTCAGAAATTTACTAACGGGTAGGACCCATTTTGTTACATAAATAATAGTAATTAATACAGTTCTGTGCATCAGAATAACAAAAAATAAAATAAGACATCAGAATAATAATAGTAATAACAAAATAAGAAAAAAACATCAAAATAATATTAATAATAACAAGAAACATGGAAAAGTAGAAGAGATTTAGAGAGAAGATTTACAAAATATTCTGTTGAAAGATGTGATGCGTAACTCTGCATCGAGTAGAGAAACATAAACGGAAGTACAATGGAATAATGTCAAAAGATAAAACAATTATCAGTTCCACTTTGCATTCTTTTGTAATCGTTCAGCTGATATACGCGTGTGTGTGTGTGTGTATATGCGCGCGAGTCGACGGGACAATGGCAAGCGTACGGTAAAACCGATCGTGAATGAAAGGTCACTGAAATCCTTTAACTTTCCCTTTCCGTTCCATCCACGGATAATTACTGTGTCAAAATCGATGGCCATTCGAATCAGCCTCCTCCCATCCACATAATCTCGTACGTGTCGTAGTTTCCAATCGACGTAACAACTTTCAATCGCTCACCTCGTATCGATGTTCCGAACCGTATCTAGTTCGCAGCACTACGAGATCGGTTCAAAGTTCAACGGTATTCCGTGACACACGCACGGTTCATCGAACCTTCAGAGTAAAGAGAAACCGAACCGAGTGACCCTTTGGCAAAGAGCGACTCCGACACTACTGACCGACGCGACGTGTCTAGCGCTACTAACTACAGTAACTATTCCTACTCGTGTTTCGCGCCAGGTATTAAACGAAATCCAAAGACTACCAAACCCCCCCCCCCTTCCCCCGTTCGGGTACCACTCCGTCTGATCGTTCTCCTTCATCGTCGCGGTCCCGTAGTTCAAATACATCCGTCATCGTCCCACGTCTGTGGCGCGTCTACTTTTCCGTCAGTATCTAGTTTGCCAACAAGTCTTACCAGTTCCATTCCTTTTCTACTGCGTCTCGTCTACTAGTCGTGAACTGACTCACTGTCAGAGATTGAACTGGCAACAGCGACGGATGCATTGACCTACTGCGACGATCGAGTGATTTTTCTTCTTCGTTTCTTCCCGTTTAATTTATTTGTCAACCGAATGTAATGTTTCGTTCATTTCATTCCGAGGATTGTTAGTTAATTAATATAGAATATACGTACAGTATTTGGTGTCTGTTTCAGTGTGCGATAATTTTCAGTGTGGTAAGACAATAAATTAAAGATTTCTGTTGCAGAAATGTAGAATGCTTATTCATAAAGTTTCTCGCATTCTCCGTTTCTTTGGAGATTCGGTTGTTTGTCCTCCGGGTGAAGGTGTCTGCACGTACTCCGTTGTTTCTCGAAAAGTTTCCCTCGCAATAGAGAACGATGTCACGCGGGTGTATCGTAAGTCACCGTCGAAAGAAATGCGAAATTTATCGGTAGTAAAATGTAACAAAACGAGAATTGTGGCTCGTATACGACGAGACGTTCACTTGTACTCACAAATTTATTGTCGACCAGCAAATGGCATGTTCGTCTTTACGAACGAGAATGCAATTTTAGTATTTAGCATATGAAATCGGTAGACACGACCGCACTTTCTAAATTATTCGAAATAGATGGAAATTGTATACGACCTTTCTTATATCTGATAGTTAAAGCTACAATTTTTGTCCGAAGTATTTCTCGCTTGAACGAAGGAAAAGTTTTTCCAATAAACAATTTTATTTTTTAATTAATTATTGACGTTAGGGAAAAATATTTTAAACAGAGATTGTATGCGCTGACGTCGTCTACAAGAAAGATTCTATGCATTTTTCTTCTAACTTCAATATTTAACGAGTTAAATACGATTAATCGGTATTTTCGTTTAATTATTTCGTTCATCGCCAATTATTCCTTTTAATACATCTGCAAATTATTTTATCCTCTCGTCTATTTCGATGAACATAATTTGCAAAACAAAGTTAACAATAAAGAATTTAATTACCCTTAAAATCATCAAACGAGAGCAAGACGTGTTTCAGAACGTTATCATGCTTCAAGTAAGAGTACGAGAAAAGTAAAGTACTTGGTTAACATCGGTGAGCGAAATTTCCACTCGCAGCTGCGGGCAATGTAATAACACGGCATTCAATAAGTAAAAAAAGGTGTACTTATAACCGTAGTTGACAGTTGCGCTAATATTTTCGAATAAGTTTGTTCTTTAAATGCTTTCGATGAAGTAACAGGTGTACAACCTACATAGATCCGCGCCGTTTACGGTGTACTAGCCTTCAAAGATCTCTACTCCGTCGAAACTAACGTCGGTGACGACGACGATACGCCTGGTAGAAAACGAATCTATTGTTCTATAGTGTTAAAATAAATCACAGATGAACAGATAGACTCAAGAGATGTCTACTTATCTACATCGTAACGATGCTCCAGTTTAGAGTTTAATATCTAATCTATAGAATTCGTGAAGAAAAATTAATTTCTTTAAGCTGAGATTAAAAAAATTAAACTCATCTTCAAAATTTTCTTTCATATAATAAAAATTTAAATGTGATTTGATATAAACATGTGAGATTTAATAATATGTGTTTAAGATGTTGCAAAAATATTTGACTCGCATTGTTCTGGCGTGTGAAAACCGTTTTGAAAGGATTGAAAGGATTGAAAGGAGGGGAGTTATTGAAGAAGCAGAACAGACTTTTTATAAGCTCCCTAATAACGTTCGGCCGTATCAGCCTAAACATCGAGATCAAGTCGAAGAATCGGTGAGAAAGTAGACCGGCCCTTGAGAAAATATCGGTTATCCGGTGATACCTCGGCGATGACACACATACGTCCCTCGGATGCTTGTGATTTAAACGGATCAATGAAATGCGCTGCCGTGAAACGCCAGAGGCCAAAAGCTTTTCTCATTTCTGCATCGTAGACCGTCGGCATCGGGACGGAGACGGCGCGGCGCGAGGATACATTTGGGATTGGCACGTTGCCAACAGGTCCTTCGGGAAATACATATTATCACTTATATCTATATGTATGCGCATCCAATGCGTATAGACGTAATCTCGTCGGTGCATGCATATACGTAAAGCAAATCCTAAAACGTTAAGCCATTATTGCCTTGCCTCCTGTCTGGCTTCTCGTCTAAATACCTCAGGTATCATATTCTTGTTTTATCATCGGCTACCTATTAGGAATTAACGATTCCAATTAAAACTGAAATAAATCAATGTGAATTTAAGATTCATAATAAAGTCATCGCAATTTCATTAGATATCATAATTAATATGACGAAAAACGATAATGAAATTTGATAGTCGAGAAACAAATTGAAAAACAGAGGCAAATTTGACAAAGAGAGGCAATGTTATATGCAGCGATAAAGGCTAGCTGTTAACATCGTAGAACGAAACGAAGGGTCGTTGGGTAGACGATCGCAGTCACCGAAACGATGAGGTTTCATTAAAAAAGAGAAAAGAAAAAAAAAATAATGCACTCGTGTGATCGATCAAGTAAACATGAAAGGAAAGTAGGTCACGAGCTTACGCTCGTCAAGCTACGCTTCTTCCGTGAATGTTAAACTTCTCGAATTTACTGAGAACTTCGCAACGAGACACCGTCGGTTGGAAGATTTATTAAAAGATACATCCGATGATTGATGTTACAGTTGGAAAGTTACCAGCGTCGTTCCGTAATATATCATTAAATACACAAAGAAAGCCAGTTTCCATATTCTCTACTCTTTCCATAAAAAGTTTCTCATCTCCCTTTTCTCTATTTAATTCCACACCAACGTTGATTAATTCGGTAATTTGAAACTTTCAGTAAGAATGCAAAAATAAATATCGAATAATAATTTTAAGATAAAGATACATCCAAGAATCACCAAGTTTTCATGTCTTTCCATGGTAATGAAATATTTTTAACGATCACGAAGATCGCGCGATTCTAAACGTTGGTCATCGGTTCGCGCCCGGACGATCATCGATCGTTAGCCGCAGCTTCTGTTCCGGCTACGGTGTTATCCTCCGCCGAGGGTGCATCCAGATGTAAGACGGATTACAATGCACACTGGCGGAAGACGCGGGACGTTACCTTCCCTAAACCAATCAGGAGAGTATACACGGTTTATCGTGTACCTACGGTACGTGCACTTAGCGCGCCGAAAGCGAACTGTGCATACTTATGCACACGCGTTCAAGTATGCAGATGCACGTAAGCAACGTGCACTTTGCCTCATGCATGTGTCACGTAGTACACGTGCCCGCGTGAGCTTTTACCGTCGAGCGAGAGCCACGGAAGGGGCCGTGTGTATGCACGTATTTTGTAACGACCATTATGGGGAACGTAGTACCAATTATACGCACAACACATACAACAAAATAATGCCAAAACATTGACGTTAATATATTACGTGCTTTTCCATAGTTACGTAAATTACGGCATATTAGCATGGGGTGGTACAAAAATCAATTATCCTTGTTACGAGCATTGCAGAATAAAATATGAAAATAATGAAGAAACGAAATATCATAACGTAAATGATGGCATGGGATGGTGCACACAAAAATCAATTACCACTGTTACAAGCATTGCAGAATAAAATTATAAAAAT